TCTCTCTCTCTCTCTCTCTCTCTCTCTCTCTCTCTCCATGAATCTTAACTCCATTCTACATGGAATATTTCTATCTAATTCTAATAGCTCCCACATTTCAAGATATGGATATAAACAGCAGTTGGATGTTACAAGAAAATTGAATTTCTCTGCAGTGAGAGAGATATAGGAAGGCCTTTTCCCAAACAAGCAGCAGACAAAATTGTAACAGTAAGTTGTGTTCGAAATAAAATGGTTCATAGATCAGAGGTGACACCACCTTTTTGAAAGCGTGAAATTGTTTCTTCTGTTGGGCAGAATGAGAATTTTTAAAAAGAACACAAATGATTTTTCTATTTATTATGTTATGATCTGCCTCAATTCACAATTCAGAAATATCTACCTCTATCTATATCTGTAACTATAGCAATGTGATCCTCTGAAAGGCTACGTATTTAATATGTTTTCATGCTTGGTCCAGAGCAAGTCTGGTTCACCCCTGCAGATAAATCATCCCTGGGTGTAGAATTCTATATGGTTGGCTGTAAAGAGGCACCTGCTAGATTTCCAACATGATGGATGAAAGTGCTCTGCATCCATTACTCAATTATTATGTCTCCTCTTTTATGCTTTAGGCCATATATCAACGTGCCCTTGACACTGTCTTCCCGCTCACTCTTCCATCTTTCTTAGTCATTTCAGCACTTGGCTCACAATTTTGCTTCTGAGGTCACCTCTGCCAACATCCTTGATGCCCCAGTCAAGTTTGTGACCATTCTGGTACCTTACCAGTTAGCACATAACGGCTTTTCTTGAAGCTTTTGTAACTATGTTTTATCTCTCTGTACACTGTAACTATAGGCAAGCTTATATTTCCCACACAGAGATGATCATGGTGGCTGCAAGTAACGGAGCTTTGCCAATATTTGCTATGACCCAATGTGTGGCGGGGACAGCTTGCATGTCGGATTCATCTTTTCCACCATCCCCATCACCTTAATCCTCCCTAGAGTCTGGCATCTATCAAGGCTACCATAGTAGAAGAGGACTTTTCAATTGTAAGCAGGCTGAGAAGAAGATGTACTTTTATTTTAGGGAAATTCTTGAGAAAACTGGCAGGCAGCTAATCTCAGTGCAAAATGTCTTCTTGCCCCTTTGTCTCTCCTCCACAGGGAAGACCACTCCGAGAGACTGGCTGTCCTTGCTAATCTCCAAGTTTTCAAGGCCTCTGTCCAAGGTGGATCAAACATCTAGGAACGCACCCCAGGGGCAGAGGCAAGTGGAGGAGGCAGAGGCTGCTGTGTATTGACTTATTTATTTTGATCTGCAGGTGGTGACCAGAAGGACTGTAGATGGACTGCAGGAAAGGGTTTGCAGGGTGAGGAACAGGGGTGCTCTCTGTGCAACAATGGGGCTCACGACCATAGAAGGAGCTGGGCATGAGGTTAGAAGAGGTAAGAGAAGCTGTTTCCAAATTGTCATCATATTATGGACTTTGAATGTATTACCAGACGTTATTAAAGGTTCTCTAAGATTCCACAGAAGCATTGTTTTTTTAGCCAGTTAACAGTTAAATCTTTATGTCCTAAAGCAAGTGGTGAGTATTAGGATTACACTGATGAATAGCACATCTCAAGGTCTCGGTGAAGTACAACTTTGGGTGGAGAAGGACTGGGAAAGGAAAGGGAGATATTTCCAGAAGAAGGTGCCAAAGCAGGGTCCTGGGCCAATCTATTGAAAGCCACTTGACTAAAATTAACGTCACGAGTGACCAATTTCTTAATTCATTGAGGAGTTTGTTTATAAGTTTTAGTCTCACCCTTCCTTCTGCTTCTCCTTGCCCCTGCCTCTGAACTTGCCCCTGCCTCTAATAACACAGCCTAGGCAAACTGTTGAGACGGGACAGTGGAAAGCACAGGGTGAGGATGAAACTGAAACTTTTAAAACATCTCTCCAATTTTGCAAATTGGGCACTTGGCAAATTATTTGTCAGTAAATTCGTGTTTCAGTAAATTGACCTGTTTCCCCAAAGCAGCGCTATCTCCTAACTGTCTCTCTCTTTTCTAGCACAGGCTCCTGTCTCATTCACACTCGATGAAAATAAGGAGGATGGCATCTGTGAAGACAGGCATACCCAACGATGCACATGTGCACACCACACAATGACATGTGCACAGCTGTAAGCACACACGGTCATGGAGTTCCAGTCACAGGTGAAGAAGTCTTCTCAAAGGTCACCTCTTGCCCCCATGCTACAATGTTGCCTTATATTAGGACATGTTGGGACAAAAATTCACCAGAATTCTCCTGTTTATTCTTTCTGACCATGATGGGTCTTTTAGTTATTAAAGTTGAATAATCAAATTTAAGAATTATTTCCACCTGGATCCCCATGCACAGTTCCTCTCTAATTTTATTGGCTGTGAATCTCTCCCAATAAATAGCTCCCAAGTCTCTATAAAAGCCTCCGTCTATTCAAAGGTCAAATGTCTTAAATACCAGTGCATCTCATTGCATATACCTTGTTTATTTGGCTGCTAAACAATCTTATCTTTTGTTGCTTACATCAGAATATAAACCTGTTAGAAAGGTCCTTAAAGGAAATTTGAAAGAAAATGACAGTGGAATACAAGTTACAACAACAAATACTACTTGTTACCTATAAAACTGGCAAAGCATACAAAAAGGAATTATGCTGGCGTTGGCTCATAATTGATGGTCAAAATACAAATTGACATAATGCTTCTGGAAGGGCATTTGTAAACACACATTGAGTATCTTAAAACATCTGTTGATCTTGGCCCTGACTGGGTAGCTCAGTTGGTTAGAGCATCATCCCAATATGCCAAAGTTGCAGGTTCCATCCCCGGTCAGGGCACATACAAGAATCAACCAATGAATGCATAAATAAGTGGAACAACAAATCGATGTTTCATTTTCTCTCTTTCCCTCTCTCTCACCTTTCTTCTCTCTCTCTCTAAAATCAATCAATAAATTTAACAAAAATCTGTTGATCTTCAATTTCTCTTCTAGGATTTCTCCAAAGGAAATACAAATGTATAGAAAGATTATTATCCCAGTGATGTTTACCATTGTGAAAAATAGGAATAACTTTAATGTCTATCATGATGTGATTAACTGAATATGTTTGATACATTTATATGACATGCTCAGAGATACTATGCAGGCTTTAAAAATTATCACAATATATTAAGTGAGGAAAACTATAGATTTTTAAAACAGTATGTATAATATTATAACACGTTGTAGCCTAGCATATATAACATTAGAAAAAAATGGCCATCAGTTCATTCACTAAATTAAATAACAATTATATATAGATTAAAGGATTATGGGTGAATTTTATCCTCTTTTTTTCCAGATCCATATTTTCCAAATTTTCTACAATTAACATGTCTTCACTGAAGTAAACTTGGTTTTGACCATTTTCTTATTTATAAAGAAAAATTCATGATTTTCCTTATGACATAAGAAAGAAAATGGATGAAAAGAAAAGAAAAGAAAAGAAAAAAAGCAGCACTTTACCCTACCAGGAAAAACTCCAAACTGCCTTTTCTCTCCCTTTTAACCAGTATCCTTCTTTAAAATATGGTATCAGAAAAGATCCACACATTTGAGGGAAATTGATAAATAAAACAACACACACACACACACACACACACACACCCCATGAGATTCAACTGGTTTCAAAAGAAGGAAATCCGAGGATAGTTTCCAGTTCATTCTCTAAACTCAAGGTCTTTGATAAACCTAGTTCACTAGGGAGGGATTGATTTCCTCCCTATCTCCCTTTTTAAAACAACCTGCGTTTAAGGCTGCGGCCAGGTGTGATGTGAGGCGCTGGTGGGACCCCTTGCTGCAGGATGGGGATAGGAAATGCAGAGCAGGAAAAGGTACACTATGCACGCCAAGAACCTCCTTCCGTTAAGGCATACAGGGGGCCGCTCGGGAAAGGGCGCTAAAATAACCATTATTATTTAGTCTAAAAAAAATCAGGACAAGCCCTCTCGGAAAACAATCAGGAGCATGGCTAGTGTCCCCGGGTTCACAGGCAGCTGACAGCTGTGCGCAGCAGCAAGTCAACCAGAAGAACGACTGAACCGTTTCCAAGGTTTCGCGGGAAGGATGCAGGTCTAATGGCCTGCCCTCCGCTGGGGAGATGGGCCGCTGGCGCCCCAGAGGTGCCTCTTCCCGACCCAGGGCTGCGTCAGCACCCGGACTGGGCGGTCACCCGAGCATGCGCCCTGGGCGTTGCATAATCATCCCGGCTGCCTCTCCCCGCGCTGGTCGTAGGCTCCCCCTGCTGGACAAACAGAAGAATGCCGCTGTCGCTGACATCTGCTCCTTGCCCAAGACCTTCTCCACTTAGTATTTTCTCACCGTGCCACCACCAGAAGGGAATTTTCTGCAGAGTAAGCGAAGCAAGGAACTTTCACCCCGCAGCACAGAACATCCTCTGGAGCATCAGTCAGTAGACTTTCCGTGGGAGGAGGGGCCCATTCCTAGCAGTTTCCCCACCCGGCTCCAATTCTCCCTTTAAGCCTGCAGTGAAGGATGCAGAACCCTAGGCAGAGAGGCGGCCAACGTGAAGGGGCCGGGTTGGCAGCCTTCTCTTACCTTTAAGTCCTCAGCATAGCATCCTAGCAGCAGAAAGACCCCCAGACCGCGGGGATGGCCCCCGCTTCTTTCGTTGCCCTTGCTTCAGTCTTGACAAATTGCCAGTCACTTGTATAGAACTGCAGTGATCTCCCTTGAAGGGCAAGCTGTTGCCCTCACCCAGTCATAAGAATATCAGAAGTGTTCAGTCTTGTCTCCAAATCATGTCTTTCGAAGTCTTATGACCCCTGGCCTTAGGTGGGCTCTAGCATCACAACTCTCATACCACTGTGCATTTTCACTAGGGAAGGTGGCCTCGTGATTGCTCAGCTGAGAAAAAGTCAACAACACTGTTACCTTCTCTTTGCTTAGCTCGTAACAGATGTGACACATCTCTCACCTGACCTGTGGCTCAAGTGTGGCCTGGCTGAGCGGAGACTCAGGGGTGGGCAGTGTTGTGCAGGCAAAGAAGGTGGGCCCCAGAGTAATTTCTCTGAGTCTTTTAGGGAACCCTTGCCATTTAGTTTTGGTCCAAGCTATTTTATGTACTTGTCTTCTCATGTTTTCCATCCTAGCTGCACTTCAGAATCACCCAGGGAGCTTTTAAAATTCAGTGAGGCTCAGGCTCTGCCCCAGAACACTTAAATCAGAACTGCTGGGGAGTGCAGCCAGGACATCTGTATTTTTTTTAAGGTTCTCAGATGACTATAAGGATAAACCAAGAATTAGAACCACGATCCTAGTCTTTGTAGCACATGACCTTATACAAAATAGGAATTAAGCAATGTTTGATGAATGAATGAGTGAATGAATGAATGAATGAGGTCTGGGAAGGCAAAAAATGGATGTATACTCCTTTATGAAAAATACGCTAAAATATTGTAATGAATGAATTAATGGATAAGTAATACAATAAAGGCAATCCCAAACCTAGGGGTGGAAAGCTGCAAGGATAGACTTAAGGAGATGGTCAGATGGCTGACGCTGATGAGAAAGGACCCCAAGCAGCCTGTGTCTACTGTTGGTACTGGTCTGGTAATATTCTCCCATCCCTTGAGGGTAGAACTGGAGGATAAGAAGGAGAAGACAGGATTCATTTGTGTAAACACTTGCATGCATTACACTTATTTTTTTCATTAGAAATGATCTATCGATTCCGAGCAAGATGGTGGCATAGGTAAACACCAGAGACTGCTGCCGCAAACAACCACTTCAAAAATACAACTAAAAGATGGAACGGACATCACCCAGAACCACAGGAAGGCTGGCTGAGGAGAGACTCTTCAACTAGAAGGAAAGACAACAGCATACCGAGGCTCAGAGGAGGCGCAGTGTGGAAAATACTCAGGTGCGGAGGTGCGCGCGCAAAGCGGGCTGGTGGCTGAGAGCGCGGTTGTCGTTTTCGGTCAGGGGGGAGTCTCAGACTCTGAGCTCCAGATACGGGCGAATCGCTGGGGACTCGGACCCAAACGGGAGAAGCGGGAGTGTCTGGCATCAGTTGGAAGGCAGAAGGGAATTTTCTGCAGAGTAAGCGAAGCAAGGAACTTTCACCCCGCAGCACAGAACATCCTCTGGAGCATCAGTCAGTAGACTTTCCGTGGGAGGAGGGGCCCATTCCTAGCAGTTTCCCCACCCGGCTCCAATTCTCCCTTTAAGCCTGCAGTGAAGGATGCAGAACCCTAGGCAGAGAGGCGGCCAACGTGAAGGGGCCGGGTTGGCAGCCTTCTCTTACCTTTAAGTCCTCAGCATAGCATCCTAGCAGCAGAAAGACCCCCAGACCGCGGGGATGGCCCCCGCTTCTTTCGTTGCCCTTGCTTCAGTCTTGACAAATTGCCAGTCACTTGTATAGAACTGCAGTGATCTCCCTTGAAGGGCAAGCTGTTGCCCTCACCCAGTCATAAGAATATCAGAAGTGTTCAGTCTTGTCTCCAAATCATGTCTTTCGAAGTCTTATGACCCCTGGCCTTAGGTGGGCTCTAGCATCACAACTCTCATACCACTGTGCATTTTCACTAGGGAAGGTGGCCTCGTGATTGCTCAGCTGAGAAAAAGTCAACAACACTGTTACCTTCTCCTTGCTTAGCTCGTAACAGATGTGACACATCTCTCACCTGACCTGTGGCTCAAGTGTGGCCTGGCTGAGCGGAGACTCAGGGGTGGGCAGTGTTGTGCAGGCAAAGAAGGTGGGCCCCAGAGTAATTTCTCTGAGTCTTTTAGGGAACCCTTGCCATTTAGTTTTGGTCCAAGCTATTTTATGTACTTGTCTTCTCATGTTTTCCATCCTAGCTGCACTTCAGAATCACCCAGGGAGCTTTTAAAATTCAGTGATGCTCAGGCTCTGCCCCAGAACACTTAAATCAGAACTGCTGGGGAGTGCAGCCAGGACATCTGTATTTTTTTTAAGGTTCTCAGATGACTATAAGGATAAACCAAGAATTAGAACCACTATCCTAGTCTTTATCTCCCCAGCGTGTAGCACATGACCTTATACAAAATAGGAATTAAGCAATGTTTGATGAATGAATGAGTGAATGAATGAATGAATGAGGTCTGGGAAGGCAAAAAATGGATGTATACTCCTTTATGAAAAATACGCTAAAATATTGTAATGAATGAATTAATGGATAAGTAATACAATAAAGGCAATCCCAAACCTAGGGGTGGAAAGCTGCAAGGATAGACTTAAGGAGATGGTCAGATGGCTGACGCTGATGAGAAAGGACCCCAAGCAGCCTGTGTCTACTGTTGGTACTGGTCTGGTAATATTCTCCCATCCTTTGAGGGTAGAACTGGAGGATAAGAAGGACAAGACAGCAAGCAGGACAG